CTATTACTATTACGGTTATTACTACGACTGCGACTGCTACCACTTTACTATTACTATTTGTTCTACGACTAGTTCTGCTACGGCCGCTGCTGCTGCTACTGCCACCACTCGTAGCATAAGTAGTCGTATTAGTTGTAGTAGCAGTAGTAGTACGATTGTTATTACTGTACTACCGCTACTACTAGGACTACCCCTACTACTGCTCCTCCTACTACTACTACTACTGCTGCTACTGCTGCTACTACTACTACTACTACGACTACTACGACTACTACGACTACTACGGCTACGACTGGCGCCATTTCCACGACTACTACTACTACTACTACTATTGTTATTGTTGCTGCCACAACGATTCTTACCACTACTTCGAGCGACTACGACTACGACTACTATTATTACTACTGCTACGACGATCACTACTACTACTACTACTACCACTACTACTACTACTACTACTACTACTACTGTTAATACAAATACTACAAGTTTACCACTACTACTACCACTACTACTACTACTACTACTACTACTACTACTACTACTACGACTACTACTACGACTACTACTACTACTACTACTACTACTACTACTACTACTACTACTACGACTACTACTACTACTACTACTACTACGATTACTACTGCTACTAGTACTACTACTACGACTACTACTACTATTACTATTACTACTACTATTACTACTACTACTACTACTACTACTACTACTACTACTACTTCTACTTCTACTACTACTACTACCACTAGTACTACAACTACTGGTACTACTACGACCGTTATTAGTACAACTATTATTATTTTTGCTACTACTACTACTACTACTACTACTACTACGACTAATTCTGCGATTGCGCCTACTACTACTACTACGACGGCGACGACGACGACTACTACTGCTACTACGGATCCCTCCTCCTCCTCCTCAGCCTCGCCCGTTTTCCTCATCCTCCGTTCCATCCTCGTCCGGTCCCTCCCCCTTATACCTCTTCATCCTGCGGCAGAGTTGCGCCCGAACCCGAGACCTTTCTGCCAAAGTCGCCGCAGCTCTACCATTGTTATTGCTACTCGCATTGCTACTGCTACTACTGCTGCTACTACTACTACTACTGCTACGACTACTACTACTACTACTACTACTACTACTACTACTACTACTGCTACGACTACTACTACTACTAGTACTATTACTACTACTACTACTACTACTACTATTACTACTACTACTACTACTACTACTACTACCACTACTACTACTACTACTACTACTACTACGACTACTACTACTACTACTACTACTACGACGACTACTACGACTACTAGTACTATTTACGATTACCATCACTATTACTACTACTACTACTACTACTACTACTACTACTACTACTATCACTACGACGATTGTGCCTCTTTATCCGTAAGGGCTTCGCCCCCTGCCGCCGGCCCCCTCTCTCGGAGAATGGGCCATGGAAGAGCTAAGTCATGAGGCCTTGGCGCTGTCGTGAAGCAGTATCGAAACTTCATGCGAAGCCGATTCGCAATCAGCAAAACCAACTGATCACAAGAGGGGTTACCACACCTGGCGATTGGTAAGACGTGTATGGTTTACGGGCTTGGTTACCACACCTTGCGATTAAAGGGCCGAGGGAGTTCTCGCAGTTTGGGTTACCACGCCTTGCGATGGATGTGCGTGAAGGGTGGCACCGAATTTCAGAAATGTGGCAAATCCCCTGTGTTTTTGGACCCTGACCCCGCGGATCTGCGTGAGGGGTGGCACCGAATTTCAGAAATGTGGCAAATCCCATGTGTTTTTGGACCCTGACCCCGCGGATCTGCGTGAGGGGTGGCACCGAATTTCAGAAATGTGGCAAATCCCCTGTGTTTTTGGACCCTGACCCCGCGGATCTGCGTGAGGGGTGGCACCGAATTTCAGAAATGTGGCAAATCCCTTGTGTTTTTGGACCCTGACCCCGCGGATCTGCGTGAGGGGTGGCACCGAATTTCAGAAATGTGGCAAATCCCCTGTGTTTTTGGACCCTGACCCCGCGGATCTGCGTGAGGGGTGGCACCGAATTTCAGAAATGTGGCAAATCCCATGTGTTTTTGGACCCTGACCCCGCGGATCTGCGTGAGGGGTGGCACCGAATTTCAGAAATGTGGCAAATCCCATGTGTTTTTGGACCCTGACCCCGCGGATCTGCGTGAGGGGTGGCACCGAATTTCAGAAATGTGGCAAATCCCCTGTGTTTTTGGACCCTGACCCCGCGGATCTGCGTGAGGGGTGGCACCGAATTTCAGAAATGTGGCAAATCCCTTGTGTTTTTGGACCCTGACCCCGCGGATCTGCGTGAGGGGTGTCGATTTCGAGCCCCCCAGCAATTCAGACAACGCGCCCAGGAGACGCTAAAAGTCTTGTTTGGGCCTCCCCCCCCCTCGCGCGGTTAATCAACTAGTTATAGTAACCAGCAAGAAGTCAACTAGTTACAGTAACCAGCAAGAAGCAGAACTGTGACACTGGAAACTGCAACCTACGACTGGTACAGGAAACTGCGAATCACGGTCCTACAGCCTGGTGGCCCCACAAGGGGGCCGGCGGATTTTTACTACTACCACGATGCATACTACGGCTACGACTGCAATTGCTAGTGGTACGACGACCGCAACGCACTCTTCTACGAGCACTCACACTATCATTATTACTACTACTACTGCTGCTGCTTCTGCTATTTCTATTGCTACTACTACTACTACTACTACTACTACTACTACTACTACTACTACTACTTGCTTCTGTCTAGTAGTAGTAGTACTACTACTACTACTACTACTGCTACTGCTACTGCTACTACTACTACTACTACTACTACTACTACTACTACTACTACTACTACTACAACTACGGTTGGTGCGACTACTACGACTGCTACGATTATTGTTGGCACTCGTATTTTTTATTACGACTAATACTCCTATTACTACTACTTCGGCTACTGATACCACTTCTACTACTTCTGAGTGCTACGACGACGACCACTACTACTACTACTACTACTACTGCTACTACTGGTGCTGCTACTACTACTACTTCTACTACTACTACTACTACTCAGCTCAGTATGTCATGTATAATCTCATGCACTAGTACTGCGGCCAGCCCCGTTACCACGACTACAACGACTACTATTACTTGTCACTACCATTGCGACTACTACCACTATTATTACTACGGGTACCACGGTCACTTTCACAACCTACAGCCACTACGACCACGACGACTACTAATAATAGTGCCACTACTACTACCACAAGCACTGCTACGAGAACTACTACTGCAGCTACCACTGCCCTTACTGTTTCTATGCGTACAGAGGCTACTCCTACTACTACCACTACTACCCCTACGACTACTAGTACTAGTACTACTACTACTACTACTACTACTACTACTACTACTACAGTGTTACTGCTATTGCGACGTTTACAATGGTTACTAGGTCAACGATTGCTGCTACCACTACTACTACTACTACTACTACTACTACTACTACTACGCATACTGCTGCTACCACTGTTGATACTACGGCTACTGCTACGACTGATATGATCACTATGAGTAGTTGTACGACTACTACTACTGATGCGACTTCTACTACTAGAAGGGCAACGCTACTGCAACTACTACCACGACTATTGTTACTATTACCACCACTACTACTACTACGACTACTACTACTACTACTACTACTACTACTACTACTGCTACTGCTACTACTACTACCCTACTGCAGCTATTCCGATTACTTCTGCTACAACTATTGGTGCTACGACTACTAGAAGTAGTAGCACGACCACGTTTACAACGCAGATTACTACTACTACTACTACTACTACTATCCCTACCACCATTACAAGTACTAGTGGTACTAGTGCTATGTCGACGACGACTAGTACGACTAGTACGATTATTGCGGCTGCTACTTCTACTACAGCTACTACTACTACGACTACTACGACGACTGCTAGCACTCGTCTGCTAGTAGCAGCAGCAGCAGTAGTAGTAGTAGTAGTAGTAGTAGTAGTAGTAGTAGTAGTGGTGGTAGTAGTAGTAGTAGTAGCCGTAGTAGCAGTAGAGTAGTAGCAGCAGTAGTAGTAGTAGTAGTAGTAGTAGTAGTAGTCGTAGTCGTAGTCGTAGTAGTAGTAGTAGTAGTAGTAGTAGTAGTAGTGTTAGTAAGGATACTACTACTGCAACTACTACGACTCTTGTTGCGACTGCTACTAGTACTACGATGACTAAGGCTACTACTACTACTACCACTACCACTACTACTATTACTATTATTACTACTATTACTTATACTATCACTACTACTAATACTACTACTTTGCAATTTACTACGGTTGCTCCAACTACTTCTGCTACTACTACCACTGCTACTACTACTGCTAGTACGACTGCCATTCCAACAACACCTACTACTACTACTACTACTACTACTACTACTACTACTACTGATACGACGACGACTACTACTACTACTACTACTACTACTACTACTAGTACTATTACGACTACTACTACGACTACGACTACGACACGACTACGACACGACTACGACGACGACTACGACTACTACTACTACTACTACTACTACTACTACTACTACTACAACTACTAGTACTACTACTACTGCTAGTACTACTACTACAACTACTACTACTACTACTACTACTACTACTACTACTACTACTACCAGTACTACTGCTACTGCTAATGCTACTGCTAGTGCTACTGCTACCACTACTACTTTTTCCTCGACCTCCTCCTCCGCCTCCCCCTCTTTCTCATCATCCTACTCATCCTCGTCCTACTTTTCCCCCCATTGCCTCTTCCTCCTCTGCCTCCTGTCGCCCGTTGTTTGAGAAGGAGGAGGAGGAAGAGGAGGAAGAGCAGCAGCATCAGGACAAGCTGCGCCCGAACCCGAGGTCTCTCTGCCGAAGTCGCCGCAGCACTCCTCGCAGGAGGTCGCCCCTGGGAGGGCCTTCGCCACGCTTCGCGGCAGCGTCGGCATGCCATCGTCGTCGGTGGCGTCGGCACCGTTGGGATCGGCATCATCGTCGTCGTCGGAGGAGGAGGAGAGGTACGAATCCCCCCTCTCCCCTCTGAATCCCCCCTCTCCTTCATCCTTCCCCTTCCCCTTCCTCCGACAAGGGCGCTGGATGTTGCCGACGAGCGCTCTTACGCCGCCGACGCCGCCCACGCTTGCGCCACCGACGCCGTCGCCGTTGTCGTGGTCGTGGTCGGCGCGTCGCCGTGGTCGACGCCGTCGCCGTAGACGCCCACGCCCGTCCTCGAGAGAGGGAGGAGACTGGGGGAACAGGAGGCGCCGGTCCCCCAGTCGCCTCCCTCGAGAGGGAGGAAACTGGGGGAACAGGAGAGGGACAAGGAGGAGCAGGAGGGGGAGGAAGAGAATATAGGACGAAACGAGGAGGAGGACCAGTGCAAACCCAGAAGAATCCATCGACCACGTTGCAGTAATTCTCCTTCCAGATTCCCTCTTCAGAGGACCCTACAAGGATCTATTTGCACTGTGCGTAGCCATTTTGGCTCAGGCAGCGTTGGCCCAACCCGCGCCTGGAGAGCGAGGTCCGCGGCATCGCCTCCCACTCGGGCGAATCACGCAGGGATTTGGCGGGCGGCCGGCGTCTCGTTTTTGCGAAGGCCTGAGCAAATTGACTCGTCACGTCCAAGGTGACCATCAGTGAGTTGTCGAAGGGCTTTGACGTTGGAGGCTCGGCGTCTTCCGACGCCAGGAAGTGAGGCAACGCAACCGAAACTGGAGCCGGCAGAAGAGCCTGAGGTGTAATATTGTTTTCTTTCTCTTCCTCGGGCTTCCGATCCTCCTCCTCCTCCTCCTCCTCCTCCTCCTCCTCCTCCTCCTCCTCCTCCTCCCGCCAGCAGTGGACAGACCGCTGCAGAGTGGTATGGTGGACGTGCAGAAGGAACTATTTGCATTGCGTAAAGTGGCCCGTTGCAGGACACCATCTGAAAATGCTCAACCATGCCAAAGCGCCATTCGTGGGGCTTCAGTGCCGCGAATCAAACTTTCCTGTTGCGCCGTGGCGATAGTGAATCGCGCCAGAACACCATTGGGACTCCAGCACCGCACCGCAAATCAATGCGACTGTCGTGCCATGGCAATCCTAGATCGTGCCAGAGCACCGTTTGTGGCACGTCAGCCGTACGAATCCTTGAAATTGTGCTGTACACTGTGAAACCGATTGCGCGCTGCGCTAAGGCGAGAGCCACATTTTGAAACGCAGCCGCCCTCCATCCGCGAAACTCTTGCAAACTTCGGACGAACGTGCGCGGCGTTAGGGCGAGAGCAACTTGGAACGCGAGCTGCCCTCCATCCGTGAAGTTCCTGCAAGTTCGAAGTTTGCAGGATCACCGGTGGTGAGGAAGGCTTGGGCGAAACGCCCAGCCCGCCCTACCGACCCGCTTGGGGGTGCGCCAAGGAGGAGATGGAGGAAGCGCAGCAGGAGGAGGAGATGGAGGAGGACGAAGAGGAGGAAGAGGAGGGGAGGAGCAGCAGGAGGAGGAGGAGGAGGAGATGGAGGAGATGGAGGAGGAGGAGGAGGAGGAGCAGAAGGAGGAGGAGGAGGCCGCCGACGGCCTCGGCAGCGACAGCGCCGCGTGCGCCACCGTCGCCTCGGGCGGCGCCCGCCGCCGCGCCGAGGCCGCCGCGGCGGCGCCGGGCGGCCGCCGGGCGCCGGCGGAGCTGCCCGCGGGCTGCCGCGGCGCGCTGGGGTGCCTCGGCGGCTGCCTCGCGGGCGTGCGCCTCGGCGTCGCCGCGGCGGCGCCCGCGGGCGCGTAGGGCCGCCGCGGAGGCCACGCGCGCGCGCGCAGAGGGGGTCAGGGCCGGCCACACGCAGAGGGGGTTAGTCGACTCGACGTAAGAGTGACCTTTCGCCGGAGTGACCTCTGGTGCGGGCACCGATGGGCCCTCAGATGGCTGAAAACGAAGCAGTAGCAGCGGCTTGCGCGCCCAGGTTTGGTCTCCCCTTGGGCCCCCAAACGCCGCGCACCAAAGGTCACTCTTACCCAGGGTCACTCTTGCGTGTAGCCGAGTTAGGATCGGAGGTTGAGACCTCCTAGAGTGGGGGCGCGTGCCAAGAAGCCAGTTGGCTTTTGCCAGGGTGCCCTGGGTTTCGTGGACCTCGATGGGTCCCCAATGAGATCTGGATGATTTTCGATCGACAAATTTGGATTTTGATTGAGCAAATCGCGGATTTCAGGGTTGGGTTTCTTGCGGAGGTTTCTTGTGGCCGAGCCCCCACTGTACCCTGACACGTCGATTCATTTACTAAAGGGAGGTTTATCCACCGCCGATAGGAGGAGCGGAGAATGGGAGCACCCCTGCTCCTCAGAAGACGCGGTCCGTCGGGGTCGTCGGGGTCGTCGTCGTCGTCGTCGCGGTGGTTGTCGTCGTCGTCGTCGTCGTCGTCGTCGTCACTGCCGCCGTGTTCGACGACACCGCCCGGGCGGTCCTCGTCATCGTCGTGATGTTGGTCGACGTGGTCGTCGCCGTTGCCGCCGTCGGCGTGACGGCGTGGTCATCGTCGAGGTAGTGGTCGGCGGCGTCGCCGCGGTCGTTGACGCCACGTGGTTGATCGCCGCTGCCGTTGTCGGGGGAGAAGGGGGGTAAATTAGGAGGAGGAGGGCGAGGGGCGAGGTGGGGGATAACAAAGGCGATGAAGTAGAGGACGAGAGAATGTTAGGAGGAGAAGCTGGGGAGAGCTAATAAGAGAAGGACAAGGAGGAAGGGGGGGCCGTCGCTTTCGCCGCCGCCGTGGTCGCCATCCCCGGTGTCGACGTCGTCGTGGTGGTCGTCCTCGTGACTGATGCTGGCCATATTGTCGTCGTCGTCTGCCTCGTACTCCACGTTCCAGCACCCTAGGCGGCGACGTTGGAGGATCAGGAGGAGGGGGAGGAGGGGGAGGAGGAGGAGGAGCGAGATGGAGGGCGATGCGCGGAACAGGGAGAGCTGAGCGGAGCAGGACGGAACAGGAGCAGCCTCGAGGGAGCAGGGCGGATCAGGATGGGCGGGCGCAACAACGGGGACTTGGCATCCCTCGGACGTGTGCATTTTTTCTCGGCGAGGGCCTTCCAGGAGCACCACGCGTCATCGAGCAAAAGAACACGCACGAGATCGAAACATGCACGGGGAATAGACGTCCGAGCGATGGCCAGGCAAAGGGGCGGGGGGATGGCGCAGGAGCACCAGCAGGGGCCACGAGCACGAGGCACCGCGCACGGCCACGCGGCAGAGCCCACGACGGGATTGCATGCGCGACGTGCACTGGGCAGGCGGAGGGGTGCACGTGGCACCCCGCGTGGCCTGGAAGAGGCAGGGCACGGCACAGAGAGATGTCTTCGGAGATCCGCGCGGACCTCCGAAATCGCACAGTCGGGCCGAGGCACAAGATCGAGGTCGGTTCGGGGAGGGTACCCTAATGTTCTTGGTGCTTGTTGCTTGTTCTTGTGCATCCTGGGGGAGGGCACCCTCGCATGTTCTTCAGTTTGGGCCGGCGGAGGGTACCATATTCTTGCAGGATGTTCTTCTGTCATAGGTACGACTGTAAAGAGAAGTCTTCGGAGATCCGCGCGGACCTCCGAAATTGTATCTTGATGCAGAGATCTGCTCCACCGGAGGCGCCACGCATGGCCACGCGGCAGAAGAAGGAGCGCAGAAAGACGCCGTGTGCCCAGCAGGCGCGTGAGCAGCGCACACTGCGCAATGCCAAGCGCCCCGCACGCGTGCAGGGGGCAGCACGGAGCGAAGCGGCAGCGGCGCTGGCCGCAGTCCCGCGCTGATCGCCTCCACGCGGTCGCCGGGAGGGCGCAAGGCGTCGGCCAGCACGCAGCGGGGCCAACGGGGGCTGCCCGCACGGCGAGCTCTGGGGCAGGAGCGGAGGGCCTGGCGGCCAGACTCTGAGGAGGAGCGGGGGGGTCGGGGGCGGCAAGGAGGGGGGTGATGACTACGGGGGGGGGGATCTCATGGCGTGGGCCATGATATTTCCTCAGATCTCATGGCGCCTCTTCTTGCTTCAGGACGTTCCCTGGCCCCCCCCCCCGGGGCCGCGCACGTGCCGCCAGCCATGATGTGCTCCCCCCCTCTTGGGCACCCCCCTCCTGGCCGCCCCCGAGGGGAGGGCCGGGCGGGCGGGAGCGGCGGGGACGGGCTGCGTGTGGGGCGCCAAAGGATGCGCGGAGACGCGGGCTTCGGGGGCTTCGGGTCGCGTGGCTCGGCTGCGGGCCCCGCTGCCGTGCGGATGCGGCGCGCGCCGTCGCCGGGTCGGGGCGGTGCTGGCCTCGCGTTTCGGAGGGGGCCGTCCCCGATCCGTGGACCCGGCGCCCGGCGCCAGGTCCACGGATGCCCAAGGCATGGCAGCGTGTGTCGGCCACGACTTTCCTCCGATGCCACGGTCCCCTCGCCTCTTCTTCTTCTTCTTCTTCTTCTTCTTCTCCTAATGATAATTATTGTTAGTATGATTCGTAGTGCTCCCGTTGTGCTTATCAGTCAGACCCTTTTGTGTGACAACTCTTATTGGTAAGCTCGTTGTCCGTATTCTTACTATTCGGATTAGCCTTCTGCTTTCTCTCATGCTTATCAGTTTTTTTCGATCTGACTACCCATATTTGCCTCATTCTGGTCGCGAGTCTTCTTCGGGTTCTTGTACCTTGTTCTCAGTATTCATGTTATGGTTCGTCTCCTTCTTGTTTGCATTGGCACCCCCTCGACCGCGCACATATCTCGGGCCATGATGCGCTGAACCCCCCTCCTGGCCTCCTCCGTCGGTGCGCCCGAAGGTGTCGTGCAATCCACGGAGCACCCGGCGCCTGGTCATCACGCCGCCAGCGTCGGCCGCAGCGTGTTGCCGATTCCCGCCGCTCTGCGCGTGGGCTCGTCCCCCTCTGACGAGAGGTCGCATGCATGCTCCGTGCTGTATATGGCGCGGCAGCTGTTTTTTGGCAGTTGTCTGCTTCTGGTTCGTTTCTCTCTCTCTCTCTATCCCTCTCTCTTTCTCTGTCCCTCTTTCGTTTGTCTTTTTTTGGTTTTCTCTCTCTATCTTCCCCTCCCTCTCCTTATCTCAGTCTCTCTCTCTCTCTCTCCCTCCCTTTGTCAATCGACCTATATATCTATATATATACACATAAATATATGTGTATTAATTTTATATATATATATATATACATCTATATATATATATATATGATTGCGGGCTCCGGGTCCTCGGGCCCCCCCCAGATGGGATGGGTCACCCATGGGTCCCAGGGTCCTCGCCCCCCCCCAGTGTGTATATATGTATATATATATATACATATATACATATATATATATATCTATATACATATACATATATGATCGCGGGCTCTGGGTCCTCGGGTCCCCCCCTCCCCAGATGGGATGGGTCCCAGGGTCCTCGGCCCCCCCGCCAGATGGGATAGGGGGGGAGGAGGAGGAAGAGGAGGAGGAGGAGGAGGAGGACGATGACGATGACGATGACGATGACGATGACGGCAACGACGACGACGACGACGACGACGACGACGACGACGACACCGACACCGTCACCGACACCGACACCGACACCGACACCGACACCGACACCTACGACGACGACGACGACGACGGCAACGACGACGACGACAACGACGACGACGTCGACGGCACCACCAGCGGCGGCGACGACGTCGAGCACCAGAGCTGTCAACATGACGCCAATCCCAGCCACACGCCGCACCTACACCGCACCCACAGGGGGGGGAGGGAGGGGGGGAGGAGGACCATGGCGTCACCCCGCACACACCCACAGCAACACACCACACCCACGCCACATCCACAGGTGGGGGGGAACCACCACGTCACGCCCACGCCCACAGGGGGGGGAGGCATCCCGCGGTGGGGGGGGGGGCGATGGCATTAGCTTGGGGGGGGGGGGGGGGGCAAACACTCGACCATATATATAGCCCCCCGCAGTTGCTGATAAGAGTGAGGGGCGGCGGGGTCGTCGGAAGCCTGCGAGGCTCGGAAGGAGCCCGCCGCAGGCGCCGATTGTTGTCAACAGATAATTCAAGAAGCCCGCAGCAGGCGCCAAATTTTTCGTCAAAGCAAGTGGATGGGTCGTGGGATGGCTCGCGGGGGGGTTGCGTGTGGATCGCGGATGGGTTGCGGGTGTGTCGCGGAGTGGGTCGCGGAGTGGGTCGTGGGTGGGTCGTGGGTTGGTCGCGGGTGGGTCGCGGGTGGGTCGGCAACAAACAACAAGCAACGTAATAACAACGTTAGCATCAACAACAACAATAATAACACCAACAACACCATCCACATTATCAACAACGACACCAACAACACCAGCAACAACAACAGCAGCAACAACAGCAGCAACAACAACCATAACAATCAATCCGCACCGCGAAGCCCCACGTCAGCCACGCACCCAGGAACAGTGAATGACCGCCCCGCTTTCATATATATGTATGAAGAGATTCATAGATTGATGTGTTCTTCCTGTCTATATGTCTTTCTCTCTATCTCTGCCCCTCTCTCTCTCTGGTTTGTTTTTCTTTCTCTCTCTCTCTTTGTCTGCTGTTTTGTTTCTCGCACTCTCTCTCTCTTTCTCTCTCTCTCTCTCTCTCTCTCTCTCTATGTCTCTCTCTCTCTCTTTCTGTCTCCCCCTCTCGTTTCCCAATGTGGTTTGTTTATTTTGTTTATGCTATTATATAAGTATGTATTACCTACATGTCCATAAGTATATCAGAGTGAGGGGGCCGAACGGTCATTCATTGTCCCTGGGTGCGTGGCTGAAAAGCGGA